TCTTCGCAATTGTAGAATATTGTGTTGGGTCCTAGCCTTAATATTTCATATTGAGTGTAATATTAAGGATAATCATCTAACCTAAACTTTGTTCTTCTTCTTTTCAGATGTCTATCCCAAACAATGCTTCCACACTAATTCCTTGAGGCTCTTTCTCCCTCATGAACCTATGTGGGAGAGTCATTTTCGATGGCTCGAACTTCAATGACTGGATTCATAACATCAGAATGGCCATTCGCTATGAGGACAGAGAATATGTCCTAGATAAAGAGCTTAAGGAGATTGATGTCACCACTTCTACTCTCAAACAAATTGATGAACACATTACTCATGAGAGAGATGCAACAAAGCTGTCGTGTCTAATGATTGCTACCATGACTGCTGAGCTGTAGAAGTCCTATGAGGACTACTATCCTTTTAAAATGTATCAAGATTTGATGGAAAGATACCATCAAAGTGCTCGGCAGGAGAGGTATGAGATCATTGCCTCCATGATCACAACCAAAATGAAGGATGGTGAACTCATCACGACCCACTTGCAAAAGATGCAGAGATTTGTGGACCGCTTCCTTAAATTGAATGTCAATTTTGATGAAGAGTTGGCCATAGATATAATTTTACACTCTTTACCTTCTTGTTATGATCAGTTTCGTATGACCTATCATATGAAAAAGGAGGAGGTCGCTCTTAGCAAGCTTCAAGGCCTTCTAAGGACTGCAGAAAGCAACCTGAAAGGCAAGTCGGTTGTGTCTACTCATACTACTACTACTTCTGCCCCTGTTGTGGCAATCGGACATGGGAAGGGAAAGAAGAGGAAGGCTCCCTGCAAGAGCCGTAAGGGAAAGTCTCTTGATGGATCCTCTTCAAGTGGGACCAAAGTTGGTTCTACTAATCCCTCTTCCAATCCGAAGGAAGCAGAGTGCTTCCACTGTCATGAAAAAGGGCACTGGAAACGAAGCTGCCCCAAGTACTTGCAGGATATAAGGGATGGCAAGATCAAGCCTTCCTTTGCAGGTATTTACACTATTCAATCTAATAATTTATCACATGCTAATTCTTGGGTCCTTGATACAGGTTGTGGTATTCACATTTGTTCTGATTTGCAGTGACTAAAAAGAAGTAGGGATGTGGAGCACAGGAAGATAAACTTAATCATGGGAAATAGGAAAGTGTCGTCTGTGACCAAGATTGAAGTTTATTCTTTATTGCTTAGTAATATATTAAATTTAGATTTGAATAATTGCTGTTACTCAGCCTATATGGCGAGAAATATTATTTACTTTCATAGTTTGTATAAACAAGCTTTACCTTTTCTTTTAATAATGAAAATGGTGGTATTTATGCTTATTGTAATGGTGAATTTAATTTTGAAGCATTACGTTGCAATGGTGTATATGAAACTGTGAATGTTGTAGATAGCTTAGGAAATAATGGGTTACACATTGATTCTTCCAATGATTTGGATAAAGCATGCTTGTGGCATTGTCGTCTTGGACATGTCAAAAAGAAGCGCATAGCCCAACTCCAAAAGGATGGAGTTTTGGAGTCATTCGACTTAAAGTCGGATGACACTTGCGAATCTTGTTTGCTTGGAAAGATGACCAAATCACCCTTCACTGGTACTTGTGAAAGGGGTGAAGGTTTGTTGGATCTCATGCACACTGATGTGTGTGGACCATTCAGAACCGCCATAAGGGATGCAAACAGCTTCTATGTGACTTTTATTGATGATTACAGTAGGTATGGCTATGTCTACTTAATCAAACATAAGTCAGAAACCTTTGAAAAGTTCAAATAGTTTAAGCAGGAAGTGGAGAATCAATTCGACAGGAAGATAAAGATGTTGCGATCCGATCGAGGAAGAGAGTATCTTAGTATTGAGTTCCTTGACTATCTTAAGGAATGTGGAATTATTTCACAATTGACACCTCCTAGGATACCACCGCTTAATGGTGTGGCTGAGAGGCGCAATAGAACCTTGCTAGACATGGTTCGTTCCATGATGAGTCGAACTTCGTTACCTATCTCATTTTGGGGGTATGCCTTAGAGACTGCCGCCCGCATCCTTAATCTAGTCCCTACCAAAAAGGTGAATGCTTTGGAATAACAAAATGCATGTATAATTAGAGAAAACATAGATCTAAACCACTTAGGGTTGCATGTGCACCATAGGAGTGTTATAGTGCTCAAAACCCGACACCAACTTTGCAGGAGGTTAAGTCCTGGCTTGGGAAGTGTTTCTCTATGAAGGTTCTAGAAGAGGCTGCTTATATTCTGGGGATAAGGATATTGAGAAATAGGAGTAGAAGACTAATAGGACTTAGTCAAACTACTTATTTGGACAAGGTGCTGAAACGTTTTAGCATGGAAAATTCCCAAAATGGGGAGCTACCTATCCAAAGTAATACCAAATTGAGTAAGACTCAGAGTCCAAGTACCAATGCCGAGATAGTGGAAATGAGTCGAGTGCCATATGCTTCCTCCGTTGGCTCGATCATGTACGCTATGACATGTACTCGCCCTGATGAGGCTTTTGCTTTGAGGATGGTAAGTCGATATCAATGGAACCCTAGTAGAGCTCACTGGATAGCAGTTAAGAACATTCTTAAGTACAAGCGAAGGACTAAGGACTGGGTCCTTACCCTTCGTGGGTGTGATGACTTGAGAGTGACAGGGTATAGTGATGCCAGTGTTCAGACCGACAGAGATAATATATGCTCTCAGTTAGGCTGGGTATTTACCCTGAATGGAGGAGCAGTAACTTGGAAATGTTCCAAACAGGAGATTGTGGCTGATTCAACGTTTGAATCAGAGTACATAGCAGCGAGCGAAGCGTTGAAGGAGGCAATATGGTTGAAGAACTTCATTGGAGACCTTGGAGTTGTACCAGCCATAAAGGAGCCTATCCATATTTTTTGTGATAATGAAGGAGCGGTTGCCTTGACCAAGGAACCAAGGGATCATGGTTGATCCAGACATATCGACAAAAAATACCACTTCATTAGACATCGAGTAGAAGAAGGACTCCTCTAGGTCAAGAGGGTATCGTCAGAAGAGAATCCTCCAGATCCCCTCACAAAGGGTATGAGTAGGGTAAAGCATATTCAACATGCTAGGAGCATTGGTCTGAGGGACTATATTAGTTCTAGTGATTAGATAGACAATTAGAAACTTGTAACAATTTAAATGTAACTAAAATTTGATGATTAATTAATAAATTTTTTATTTATGAGTAAAATTTACTATCTTTTGTCAATTGTTTATTTTGTATTTCACTTTTGCATGTTTTACTTCCAGAATAATAAGATTGTTCAAATTATCCACATTCAATCATACTTTGGAAGTAAGTAATGAGGGTAAACTGTCATGAACTAGCTTGTAGATTGTCTAAGTGCTTAGACATAGCAAAGGTTTGCTGCAACGTTCATGAGTACTCCTGAAATAGGATTTGAGTATTGGATTAAACCCACACTCATATGAATCACTTCATGGAATTTATCACGAGTGATTGTGAGACGATAATATCGCATAATCTTCAAACCGAGATATATGAGTTGTTGTTTACGAGTTGGTTGTGCATTGATAATGTGTAAACGCATCAGTAACTTGATGTTATAAAATGTATTAATGTGTACGATTCACTACTAGAAAAACAGCCTTTTACGACGCGCAATGCGTGCCGTAAAACGCTCAGACGACGCGCAAATGCGCGTCAAGGAAGGCCCTGTTATAACGAGAGACGACGCGCTTTTGCGCGTCGTCTATTTACGACGCGCATTTACGATGCGCTCTTACGACACGCAATGCGTGTCAAGGAAGGCCCTGTCATAAAGAAGACGACACGCATTTGTGTGTCGTAACCTTAAGACGTACATTTACGATGCGCATTGCGTATCATTAAAGCCCCTGTCATAAAGAAAGACGACACACATTTTTACGTGTCATAAAGTTAAATATTTTAAAAATTATATATTTTGATAGATTTACTAATTTTCAAATTAAATAACACATTAAAAATCTCATAATACAAAATAAAATACCATAAATAACAAAGATAATTCATTTCACTAATATGTCAAATACAAATAATTATTCCAATAGTGAGTAAATGTTATAAAAAAATGAACTCAAAAGAAGCAAAATTTATATACAATTGCATTATCTAGCTTACTATGTGCCAACAACTCTCTGTGTGTTTGCTTTTGCTTGAGTCTCGTTTCCTCCAAAGCTTCTAGCCATGCCAAAGTATGATATCTTAGGGTTCATGTCCAAATCAAGTGAAACATTGCTAGCTTAAATTCAAGTCCTTGGCGTGAAGTATTAGATAGAAGCTTAACTGCAATCTCCAATCCTTCTAGCAGACCCTAAAGATCATTATTGGCCATGTAGCAGGATCAACCTGCCAAAATTGGATAAGTTAAGAATATGCAACAAGATTGGTGAAAAGACATAAATGCCATGTCGCAGACCCTAAAGATCATTATTGGCCATTTGGGGACAAATTTTATTCAATATTTACACTTTTTTCCACAATTTTAATCAACCCTTCATGCAAATATAAGGGTAAAATGGTCATTTACTCTCTCATTTGGTTCCTAGAAGTTTTAACATAATATAAATACAAGAGAAGATGATAACCTTCAAATGGTGTTCGATCATGAGAAGGAATATGCAAGCATTGAACATGAAAAACCCTGTCATTGTATAAAATTTAGGCAAACATTTAAATACTCCTATTAAAGATTCTATAAAACAAAAGTTTATAAGAAAGAATGTTCAAAGAGAAGATGAAGATCAAGTTCAACTCACTTTCCAAGAGCTTTCTCATGTACAACAAGGCCAGTTCCAGTTCCTTCCAACCCTACACAAAGTATCACATCCAATTAGGAAGTAAATATAAGCATATCTTGTAGGGGTAAAATGGTAATTTGTGTAAACTTATAACCAAACACAAATTACCAGGCAAATACATAAGAACAGGAGAATCTTTTAGAGGCCTGTTACAGGCAACATGGCAAAACCATGCTGAGATCAAGTGTGGAGATGATATCATCAAATGAAGACCTATTGTGCATGTCAGCATCCCAACATCTTTGTACCAGAGATAGTAATCTTGGTGGTGCACATGATTCCGTCCCTGCAAGACCAGGTCTTAACCCTTTAGACACAACAGCTGCTGTCAGTTGCTTGTCAGTGTAGTTCATTTCCAGCACAGTGTGAGCCTGGCATCAGGGGATATTATATTATATTATTATTTTATAACTTTTAAATATAATACACCAATATATGAAAATGAAACTACATAGCTATTTCTTGTATTTAGCTCGATTAAAGCAAGTGAACATGAATGTTCTTGTGGAACCTGAGGTTCACAATGTTTTTGCAAGAATACCAGGATTTGGGTTTGTACAAACGTTCTAAAGTCAAGATACAAGTTATATAATGCAAGAAGTAGCATTTCTTTATGGGAAAGTAGAGAAATATGCTTTTTTTCAATTATGAGATTATGACATGGAAGAAGAGAAAGAAATATATAGATTTTCTTTTCAAAATTTTGGAGATAGTACTTGACCAAGCTGTCTATGCCATCAAAATCATGCTACTTTTATAACCATATACCAAAACTTTGGGATAATTTTCATGCAGTAAGTCATTTTATCCATGCCTATGTGATGTTTCCATTTACTATTCTCTCATTCAAACAAAAAAATTTAGAACTCACATTCTGGCTTTGATTATATAGCTCGTATATAAAAAAGATACGATTTACAACCAAGTATAAATACATACAATGTATTTAAAGCTTCCTTTTTAGAAGAACAGACAAAAGAAGAAGACTTGTAAGCGGATTTGGGGAAGGGTTTACGATTTTCACTAAGTGTCATCTTGATGTAATTTAGAAAAGAGCAGGCAAAAGAAGAGGATTTGAGGAAATATTTGTTAGAATATTAAGACTTACCACAATTCCAGACAGAGAAATAGGGCTTAATCATCTCCTTCTTGATTATTGAACCAATTTCTAGCAGTTTCCAGGATTTTATTATTGTTTACCTGTAATATCCATTGCATCAGACAGATTTGTGGATGAAAAAACTAAAATGTCTCATTTCAGCCAACTACATAAAAGCACTCAAACATTATACACATAGACACACAGATCCCAAAACATGAACAAAGTTGACTAATTGCACCATACCCAAAAGATTGATACCTTAGGCAAAATGATAAAAAATGGCAGAATCAAATAGACATTTTACCCCATGTAGACATTTTTGGGTCAATTGTCCAAACAAGCAGTTGAGATGATGCCCTCATTCTGAGATCCATCAATACCCTCCAGCTGAAGAAAAAATAAATAACCAAGATTTCAGAAAACATATACAAAGGGACATGACGTCTCATGTTTTTCTTTACTTACAGTGATATGTGCTAAAGGTGTATCCTCTTGAATGCCATTGCACAACTCTAGCAGTGGATGATCCATCTGAACTGTCATTATGTTGACTGAACGTGACAAGAAAATTTGACTGGTTATGTTGACTTTATCATCCAGGAGGCGTATTGTATCCGAGTTGTCAGAGTTTATGTCACGAAAAGGAGGATGGAGGTTAGGTTGTTCACCCAAATTCAAGGCAAGACAGCTGGTGAAAAGGAAATCTGAGAAAGTAGTATTTGTGCGTGCATAATGTCACGATGAACAGATGCTTGATCTTCAGCAGGTCCATGCCAACTAACTTCATTGGTCACTTTCAAATGGCCTAGATCAATTTCCAAGAAACTGCATCCATGAAAGAAACACTGAGAAACCATTTTCACAAGATGTTTATGGAAAGAGCTACACAGTGGCTGTATACACGTGCTTTAAAGCCTTACAGTGGCTGTATACACGTGCTTTAAAGCCTTCTTGACCTAATCTGGTGTTGCAGAGTAGACTGGAACCACACTTTCACTTTTAAATTCCTGAAATTTCCAACAATTTGTATATAATTTAAATATTTAATTTATGAAAGATAATATTTGAGTTGATTATATACATACCATACCAGATTCCTGGCACATTTGGACCAACTGATGACAAAAACTTTGAGCAGCACTATCTGGAACAGTTCTTGAGAAGTTGATACAAGCCCAGTAATTAACAACACTTCCATTTATAACTTTATGTGTCATAAAAATAGTATAATATTAATTATATTATAAGCAATTGAAAATGACAAGTAATTAATATATAGAGCGTGGATTACCTTATCTTTCATGTTCCATTGTCCCATTTGAGGTAAAACTTCCTTCTGTTTTCCACTGTCGTGGTACTTCAACTGATGATACATGCATACGTTTAAATATTTATACATGTTTAATATCACCATTGAGAGAGAGAGAGAGTGAGAGAGAGAGAGAGTGAGTGAGTGAGTGAGAGACATTACCAACATTCACATCAAGAGGGGGCCTTTGGTTCAACCAAGGAGATGGTGGTTGTTGTACAGAAAATAAAACTTTAATGTATAACCTCTACAACTTCAATCACAAAAGAAATTACATCCGATAAATTTTTGTTTTAAATGGGGGATGTAGAGTACCCATATAATCATCTCAAATGAAAATGAAGATACCAATGTAATATAATAATGGAATGATTCTACACAAAGCAATGAAGAGGATAAGAAAGATGCACTTGCCATGTATGTGTTAGGCCTCCCAGATTTTCCATCTGAAACTCCATTCTCGTTTATAGAAGGATAAACACTTGGGGTAATGGGGGTACCTCTAGTAGGTATATTGTAGTTGTCCATGGTCCCTGGTAAAGGTGTTGGAGCTGTTCCTGGTAATGGTGTTTGAACAGGCAAAGGTGTTTGCATTGGATTCTGCAATGGTGTCTGCAGATAACAACACACTTAAGGAAACAAACCATGAAAGTATGAACAATAAATGAAATAAAGACAGCCCAATATTTCATGATAAATACACTTGGTTGACCCCCGAATTTCGGATGCATAACCAATTTTCCTTCTTTACTCTCAACAAAGTTGTTCTCTTTCCAATAACTAATATACACAATTATGACCAGGAAATGTATACTCATTCGGAGATTCTTTATATACTCATCTACCCTAGGTGAATCTGAAAGCAACAAAGGTCTAACTTCTATATGTTGTAATTTTCTAAGAGCAATGAATTAGCATGAACAATTGCATGGTATCCACTTATGAAGAAGTCCAAGCATCCAGTACATGTAGGTATATTGTTCGCATAAGTTATGAGCTAAAAGATACTTACCGGAGGGAAAAGTAAATCAACGGTGGGAGTTTCATACTCTTCCAGCCCTTCATATGGAACATTAAGATCATGAACAGTGTTCGATGTAGCCCCAGGGGCCATCGACTTGGTGACAACAGATCTGTCAATCGGACCCACTATAGCCCCAGCTTGCATCATCTTCAACTCCCATAACTAACCAAAATACCAGAACCACCAAAACAGTAAACAAACGGTACGAATTTCACAATAACAGATCCAAATAAACATCACAGTGACGAAATCAAAACCCCGTAAAACTAGATCTATACTAGAAAAAATATGCCCGATTTGGTCGACATCGAAAAAAAACACTCACTCCTTGAAGTTCGCTGAGGATGCCTTCGCCAGGACCACCATTGTTAATGAATTCTTCTTGGACTTTGTTGATGACGTGTGTTTTAAGAGATGAAAACGTAGCGAATTCAAACTTGGTGGATGCATCGATTACGGAGAAAAAAAACTCAGAGAGGGAAGTGAAGTCGGATTTAGGAGAAGTTGTACCGGTTTTAGGGAGAAATCGAACCAGTTGGTCTTTGTTGTTGATCTTCTTTGCCGCGATTACTGGCTCGTGACTAGAGAGAAAGGTTAGGGTTTCTTGATTGAGAGAAAGGTTAGGATTGATAGAATTTACGAGAAAGATCTTGCGGAAGGAGTTGATAAAGCCCCAGGCTGTGACGATGACCATATGGGAAAACGAACGGGAGGTTCTTGATGCTTTTTCTGAGTTATAGAATGGGAGGTTCTTGATTGAGAGAACCTGAACTAATTCGAAGTTGAGTTCACAGTTTTTGATCTAAGGCACCCTTTCTCAAGAACAAATTAGGGTTCTTAATATTTAGGGATTTATGATTTAGGGTGATTTGGGGAGTCGTAGTAGGCGGGATGTTTAATTTTTTTTTAGGAATGGAAAATGGTTATGAATGATTTAGGGTTCTTAGTAGAGGATTTTAGAAGGAGAAGAAGGAGTATCAGGCGGGGTATTTAATTTTTTTGGGATTTCATTTCTCAAAAAAAATACTGAGAACGTGCCTTCTTAAAAAAAATATAAAGTGACACCTTTACACGACACGCTTTTTATGATAGGTGCCCTCCGTATTTCTTTTTTTTCTTTTCTGACACTAATTTCAGGGCACGCATAAATGCGTGTCCTCTATCCTTCAAATTTAAGAAGAGATGACGTTATTTTTAGGGTGCACTCTTTTGCGTATCGTAAATTACTGCGTGTCATTGTTTGTGCGTCATTAAAGGGCTGTTTTCTAGTAGTGATTTGATGAGTAAAGAGTACAAGCATATAAGTCAAAGTTTATCTGTTCCTTTTATCATAAGAGGTTAAAAGCAATATTTTGGGCCCCTCGATGATTTTGTGTTGACTTATGTGTCGGGCCCGTTCGGGACTAAATTGATGTGTTAAATTAAGTTCATTGTCAAACAAATCAGAAATCGGGAATCGAATTGGTGGACATTGAGTATGACTCTATTCCATGTCTTTGTCCACATGATATCTTAAAGAACAGAGGATTATATGATCCCTTATCTAAAGGACGCGTCATTGACTAGGTCAGAGTTAGACAACAGCTTTCGAGAGCTACGATTGCTAGTCAGATTCTGGAGTTGCATTGGCAGTTATAGTTATTAGACTTATCCAAGTGGGAGACTGTTGGATTAGGTGTCTAAGCCCATAACTATAATTGCATGGTATGTGCTTGATCCGATAGTAGCATGGTCCTTTTGGGTTGCCTTCGTAATAGCAACTTGATAGGATGACTTTTAGAGAAAGAGGTCGATAAACGATTTATTAATATATTATAGGAATAATATATTAATTGAGAAATCATATTATTTAATTAGTATTAATCAGAAATTAATTTGGAATTAATTTTGGGATTAAATGAACTAATTAAAAGAACAAGGACTGATATTGCAAATCATTGATAGTTGTAAACTGGGCTGTTGGATCACCTTGGAAGGGGTTGGACAAAATCTATGGGAATCCCATACAAAATTTCATCCAATGGGCCTTGTAGAAGGTTTCCATGGATTACTTAAGGCTTAAGCAGAGAATTAGGGTTTCACCTGAAAACCCTAGCAACCACAAGTATATAAGGACCCCTTAGCATCTTGAAATCATCCCTATGCTTCTAAGAGAAACCCTAGACGATTTCTAAGTGCATTGCCTTCTCCTTCTCCTTCATCCTTTTCTAAGTGGTGTTTGTGACTCCATTAGAGGTGCAACGTTTGAGTCACTAAGCTCTTAAAGGTCAAGATCAAGCTATTAACAAGAAAGGTATTCTTCTAACTTTAGTTTATTGTTGATCTCGTTTTATTGTATGCTTGATTAGGGTTATTGCTTTGGAAAATTAATTTGCATGTATAAATTGAGAAAAACCTATATCCAAAGCAAATAGGGTTGCATGTGCCCGTAGGAATATAGATATGCTCAAAACCCATCAACTTAGTGTATGCATCATGGTTATACATAACTAAGATCTTATAGCCTGAGAATGTTTGGTTTGGCTTTATTTCCTGTTCTTGTTTGATGAAGGGATTAGGGTAGGATCAGATATTCGAATGTCTATAGGGTCTAGCGTTATGTATAGCTAGCATACACAAGTGTTGCACGGTTGGTGGAAGTTTCATGGATGAGTAGTGTGGGGTCAGTTGGCCAGATGTGAGATGTTTAGCCTTTCCTCTATGGAGTGAGGATTAAGTGTATGGTTATGCTTTTGAGTATTTTTAGGGTGTTATGATGACCCTTGAGACAAATACGGGTAGGTGTGGAAGGTAGTATGGGCCCGTACTACTGAAAGCACAGGACCCGTATGCGTAGCAAGGAAGTCACAACCCCTAGGGCTTTGTTGGGAGTAGGTTCCCGGTTACGATATGTGTATTATATGATATCTTCATGGTGTATTTCAGTATATGGTGACTACAAGACGAGTTGATACCGGATCTGGATCGGGATCAGGGGCTGACATACAGGTTGGATCAGATGAGTTGGATGTCAGGATTAGGAGGATTCTCCACGAGGAGTTTGTGGCCATTGTCTGGGATCAGATACCGGAGCTATTTGGGTCTATTAAGACCATGATGAGGGAGTACTTTGATGACAGATATGCAGCTATTGCTGAGACTGCTACTGTTGCAGCCTCTGCAGCTGTGGCCGTTGCGGGTGTTGGACCGGGTCGGGTTTTTCAGTATCGGGACTTCGACAACACGAAGCCCCCAACTTTCGACGGAGTGCAGGATCCGATCATTACTATGAGATGGCTATTTGACGTGGAGGGATGTTTCTTCACTTGCCTATGCCCTGCTGACCAGAAGGTCAGGTGCACCCTGAACCTTTTAAGGACCGGAGCGAAGAACCGGTAGAGGCTCGCTACCAGTTCCTACTCTACTGAGCAGAGAGTTGTTGTGACTTGGACAGTTCTCTGAGATATTCCGCTCCCGATATGTGCTCTTGGTGGAGCGAGAGAGATTGGACCAGGAGTATCTGGACTTAAGACAGGGTACTGAGACGGTGACGGAGATCACCATGATATTTACGGAGAGGGATATGTTTTGCCCTGAGTTTGTTGCATCTGAGCAGACTCAAATGACCCGTTACTTGAGCATGATCAAGACGGAGATTAGGCAATTTATTTCTACTTAGCGCTATGGTACATTGTTGGAGATGCAGGAGGCCGCCAGGCGGCATGAGATTGAGATTGATCTATAGACAAGAGAGCAGAAGCCGGCCCCGACGCAATCACAACTTGCGCCCAAGCGGTTTAAGACCGTTGATGTCAGATTTGGGGGCCAGATGGGATGCACTTATGGCCAATGTGTCAAGACGCATGAGGGTGCTTGTCGATCATAATCTGGGTGCCATAATTGTGGACAGCAGGGTCACATGGCGAGGGATTGCCGCCAGCAGGCTCCAGCACTCAGTTCCAGGATTCGTTATCATTGCAACCGGATTGGCCATGTGAAGGCAAACTCCCATCTCTTGCCCCCATGCCAGCGCAGGCTCCAGCACTGGCTACATTGAGGATCATAGATGGGAGTCAGCGTAGAGCGCAGCCCCCGAGGGCTCGAGGTCGCGGTTTCCATCTTACTGCTGAGAAGGTCAGAGCAGCACCAGATGTTGTGACTAGTATGTTTCCATCCCTTATTCTATTGATTATGTTTTGTGTTATGCTTATATTTATACCTCTGTTAGGTATGTTCCTAGTGAACTCTTTGCCTGCTCTTGTATTATGTGACTCGGGTGCGAGTCGGTCCTTTGTATCTCGATCGTTTAGTAGGGAGCTTGCTATGCCCTTAGGGGAGTTGGAGTGTCTGTTGCGAGTTTCTATCGCCAATGAACACGGGGTTTCCGCTTCTTCGGTGTATCAGGGTTGTGTTCTGGAGATCTTCTGGGTATCCTTTCCGATCGATTTGATCCCTATTCGCATGGGGGACGTCTATGTAATTGTAGGGATGGATCGGTTAAGTCGGTTTGGCGCTATGATTGATTGTAAGGATCAGCGTGTGGTAGTTCGAACCCCAAGTGGGGGAGAACTGATTTCTATGGAGAGGGAACCAGGATGGGTTCAGGATTTTTTTCAATAGCCAGGGCTCGGCAATATATTCAGCATGGGTGTGGGGGTTACTTGGCGTATGTGGGGGATACATGTGTTAGGGACCAGGCTTCAGTTTCAGAGGTCCCGGTGGTCAGGGAGTTTATCGATGTATTCCCGGAGGAGTTACCCGGTGTGCCTCCTGAGAGGCAGGTCGAGTTCAGGATTGACCTCGTGCCAAGTGCGGCCCCTATCGCCAAGGCGTCGTACCGTTTGGCACCACCTGAGATGCATGAGTTGTCATCTCAGCTGCTGGGCAAGCAATTCATCCGTCCGAGCAGTTCTTCGTGAGGAGCACCGATTTTATTCATCAAGAAGAAGGATGGTTCACACCGGATGTGCTTTGATTATGGGGAGTTGAACAAGTTGACGGTGAAGAACCGTTCTCCCCTTCTGCGGATTGATGATCTCTTTGATCAGTTACAGGGAGCATCTTGTTTCTCCAAGATTGATCTGAGGTATGGGTACCATCAGGTCAGGGTGAGGGAGGAGGACGTGGAGAAGACCGCATTCCGGACTCGTTATGGACAGTACGAGTTCGTGGTGATGCCATTCAGGCTCAGCAATGCGCCTGCAATATTTATGGATTTGATGAATCGGGTATGCAAGCCTATGCTTGATCGCTTGGTTATCATGTTTATTGATGATATCCTGGTCTATTCCAAGACCATAGAGTAGCATGAGGAGCATTTACACGAGCTTCTGGGTGTTTTAAGGCGAGAACGGCTTTTTGTTAAGTTCTCGAAATGCGAGTTTTGGTTGCGAGAGGTTCAATTCCTTGGAAACCTCGTTAATCAGGATGGGATTTTGGTCGAACCAGCCAAAATCGAGATTCAATCGAGAGGTTCAGTTCCTTGTAGTGTTGTCTGGGGGTATGTGTCACACCCCGCTAAACCGGAAACACAGGGCGTGGCAATACAAAGGGTTTCATAGCAAAAGTTAAAAGACAACACCAACCATAGTATTAAAATCATTACAAATTTACAATGGGTTTGAACAACTTTTAAAAGAAATTATAATGTAAATTGAAATACAACACATGCGAATGCTCCTAAAAGTGAAGTGTCCCTAAGTGCCACTTACTCGA